TTTGCCGTCTCTCTTTACTTGTTTAACTAGCTTAAATCATTACTAGGTTTATTTTTCTAAAGATATATTATTTTATGGTTGGTTGTGCAATGAAATCCTGTTAAAAACATATAACAATTCTAAATCGTTAGACAATATTATGATGTTTAACTAACGTACGTCCGGATTTCATATTGAAATTCTAGCAAAAAATTTTATTTTATTAACAATAGTATCGATTGACGTGTTGAAAAATTGTGTAAATATTGTGTAAACATTTCATTCGATTTACTTTTAATGTTAAGTGAATACAAAGCTAACTTAGTATAAAAATTATTTCGTGGATTATTATACTATGTACATAGATATGAGTTCTGGCTATACTTATGAGTTATGTGTAATTTTAAAATTTAAAAACTGAAATGAAAATATTTTGAAATATTGTTATTTATATAATATATTAGTAATAAAGAATGGGATCATTCGGGGTATGCATTATGTCACTACCTTATTTAATATCTTGTTATGTGATATTGAAAGAACACCGAATTGGATATCGTTAGCTTTGGTCTGAATTTATAAAAAGGGTGAAAGTACCCTTTCCTTTGTCTTTTTCAACAACCACTTATTCATAAAACGAACTATGTGGCTCGGAGTACGCAAAGATTACCCCGGGTAAAATTAATCTTAAGGCAAGCGAAATTATTGAAAAATAAATAACCTTCTCAGTATAGACTAGGTAGAATATTGTTTTTTGTTTATTGTTTGACAAACAATGAAATAAATAATATAGTTATGAATACATAACATTATTACGTAAAATATATTACAATTGACACTACATTTCTAAAAATAAAGTGCATCTATTTAAATTTGTGATGTTTTATATCTATTAACAAAGTTCCTAATTGTGACTTCAGCCGGGGAGGTTAAATTTTATTTCACTTAAAAGTTAATCCCGGATCGTTAGTCTTCCATTCTACATGACACTGGCAGAACATACTGGCAACGTCTTGGCACAGATGAAGGCCATATTTAAACAACCAAACAAAAATGAAATGAAGATAATATTATAACGTATTTAAACTATTTATAGGACAATAAGCAAACCATCCGTCCCTTCACTGCTCTTTAATATTTCGTAATGTTGATGATTTCGCATTTCAAAAAGATTTCTCGGAGCTGTTCAAAATAAGGTGATATTTCCTTAAGATTCAGCTATCAGTAAGGCTAGATAAAATTCTTAAGTAGCCGTTAAATATTTATTCGATGTTTAAATAAAATCCAATTTTATTTAGCGTTAATCTTTGAAAACTTTTTTGAACAAATTACAAAATTATTGAAGAAGAATAATACACGACGTAAAAGTTAAATCAAATCATTGTACACTGTCAAACTCTCGCTGTCATAGTGAAACGAAAATTAACACTTTTTTTAACTATGGCTCCGTAACAATTCATCTTAAATATATTTTAAAATATTTCAGTTATATCTGAACTGTAATAAAGATAAATCATACGTTCTACAAAATCATCATCAAAAATAATTCTAATACACGGAATAAAATATATTAAAATACGAAGACATTCGTCTTCCATAATCATATAAAGGTTAAGAAAATATTAAAGTATAAACTATGTCACTTAAATAATTTAACTATTTACGACTTAAATGTCTTACTCCTAAGAAATTGCTACTTACGGCAATATAAGTTTAACTATTCTATTGTATTTGTATAGAGAAATGTAAGACTTCAGCTAAATAACTCTTTGACTTCTTATTAAATTAGAATATTTATCGCCATTCTTGACATATGCTGTCAACTTTATAACGATTACAAACAATAAATTTTACACATAAGTATTCTTTAAATTATATTTTATAACTAAAATAAATTATATTAACTGAATGGTTCTGTATTTAAGTTTGTATTCTGATTCTGACACAGTCACATAATACCATGCATTCTATGGTATTCTCATAAAATAATGTTTACAAAAAATTAATACTAGAAATCCACTATAATTTCCCCAATTTTATGGCTACTCCGAATACAAGTAACACTGATTGCAACAACCTAATATTTGGGCTTCATAAATTACAGCTTTCATCACACCCTCATCCACAAACGAAATAAGGTATTTTTTTTTCTTATTTACAATCATGCGATTATTAATGCTTAGAAAATGGGTGTTACAATATACAAGCTTGTATGCTAACTGCTAATATTGCTAACAAGATTTTTATACATGATTATAAATAAACTATTATAATCGTTTCCTGAAAAGGCTACATTGTTAGAATATTTAACTAAATTCAAACAAACAACCTAAACCCAAATTTAATCAAAACAATTCTTTTCATACGTGTTAATTTTTGATTTACAAAGATATGTACATTTGAAATTTAAAAATAAAACGCATTACCTTATAAAAGTACTTCACAAATAAATATTTTAATCATCTGTAACTAGGTATCGAAATATAATAATATACAACTTACGAGATCCTCAATAATTATCTAATTATTTTTAAGTTCAATAGTCCTTTTAATTTTTGTTTATTAATTATTTCACATAACAGTCACTCTATTTTATGTTAGAGATAGATTTTATATTATATTATCATTATAAATACAATAAGTATTAAAATATTTTTGATGTTTTCTCTTTTCCCATCGATTTAAAAAAAATCTCATACTTTGAATATTTTGTATGGAAACAAGAGATAGTGTAAATAGAATCTCATACATTTGTACTGAAAATTTATTCCAACATAAAATAAAACCCGTAAAATTAAACTCTATAACTCTTAGTAATATTTCAGTGAAGAGTTCCCAAAGGAAGTAACCGAGTTTGATGATCTCAGTTTGATTTTCGGTGTAAAACTTATATTTCCAGCTCATATGGAAGCCAGTGAAAAATGCGAACACTGCAGTATTTAATCACAAATATGGCCAATAATATTGAGGTGACAGAATGATTTAGTTTTAGACACCTTTTTCTGAATTTACTAACTAAACAAAAATTTTGGAAGAATACTTTAACTACAATCAATATATTCTACCACACCTTGTTATTTCCTACGTATAAATAGTTTAATAGTTTAGAAATTAACAAATATCAAATATATTGTAAGATATTGTAATAATTTGCTAATTTATGGTGTTAAGATTTTTAATAATGGTTAGTATTAATTTGTGAATTCACTCACTATTGCAAATGTCAATAGAAACTACATATTATAAGAGAGTAGTTATAAAAAAACGACTGTCAAGTGTTATAATGTGTTTAATGCAACCGCTGGTCAAACACTCACTGTCATGGAGAGTCTAGTTTAAAATAGAAACAAAGACACTAATTTCATTCACTTCTTACTCAAAGTGCATACTTCTAATATTGACTGCATTTATTGCCTTTGATAGAGACGTAATTTTTGTTTGAACTTTAATAATATAATTCCTACATACCTTACAAGCCAAAAGCTCTCTCCCTTCTTCGTTAATATTCCTTGAATTGTGACAAAGCGAAACAGTTTTGCCTTCCTCGAGTTATAATTTGAGTGTCTTCAAAGCAAAAGTGATTAGACCATCACTGAGATACTTCATCAACTGCGTCTTCATTTCCACCTACCATCAGATAAAAAGACACTTCTAACAATAATTTCAAAACCTTTATTTATATTAACAATATGTGTAACCATTCATCTACGAAATATTATTAAAATTTTCTTAAATGGATGATTTCTAAAACATTATTTCATTAAAAAATACTTTCGCGTGCAAATCTTGTTAATAAACACAAATTTTAGAAATATTTAATTGACTTGATTAAAAACTGCTATATGATTGATAATAACAAATACATAAAGTAAACATAAACATGAAAGAAAAAGAATAAGAGATCTAATATACATATATCCATATTAATAAAAATACTTTCTTACCAATAAAAACGTTTTCATGTAAAACGCATACAAAACGTTGACATCCGACGATGTAAGATGTTCAATTCCAATATACGACGTGAAGTCAATTTGAAACTGCAACCAACAGAAACGATATTTTGACTGTGCGATATCCCATATCTAATTGAAAGTTGATGATAATTTAAAAATACCTTGATTTTGCATAAAAGTTTGCACAAAGTAAATAAATAAAGTCGTTACTTTATTTGTATTCCATCTAAGATATTATAAATTATATCCTGAAACTCTAATATCATTTATAAGTACTCTAAATGTGAAGGTACATAGAAATGATAAATGAGGAAATCCCTTAAGGTTACTGACATTAATTGAGAAAACTGGTGTCTGAAGATAATTTACTTTATATCAATATCTGACAGAAATACTTATCACTAACAATATACATATTTTACTTTGTGTCATAAAATCTGATTCTTTTTAATTGGACTTAAAATACAATGACGACACTTTTTCAGAGTTTTAGAAATTAATGGAATACATTATATATTATGTCAGTGGTGGCCTAGTGGTGAAAAAGCCCGCCTCTCCGCTATGAGGGCGCGGGTTCGATCCTGACAAGTACCAATGTGATTTTTCCGAGTCATATGTACTTTCTAAGAGTATTTAGACATTACTGATTAATGCATTCCTAAAGAGGGTTAATGTCAGGCAGGCGGCCGGTCGTCAAAACAATTAGCTAAAAACTATTCACAACATGTAAAGCAGACCCTGGCTAAAGCTGGGAAATTGCCTAGTAGAAGATTATACATAAATATATTTTACTTCACCTTAAACAAATAGTAGTTTTTAAATAAACAGAGTCGTTTTGTCAAGGTTGATATAACTTTGCCATTCTCTCTCCTATTTAATAGCTTATAATTTAAAAAGTTTCTTAGAATATATATGTCACAGTAATATTAGTCCGGCAGGGGCTCAAGACAACAATAATACATTTCATACCACTTCCAACTAAGTTTAGAAGTTGGCTTTCATTGAGCCATTTACGTGTGAGTATATATATAGGGTGCGCCAGAGAAACTTACTTATTTAAAAAAATTACCGCGCGGTGAGTTGGGCGGGTAGAGGGGCAAGAGGGGGCGCATCTGGAGGGGGAAGTTTCCAAGTTTGTTTCTCCCTCCAGTCAGCTGCCATCATGCTCTGGTTTAGAGAGCAGCGGGCCTTCGCAGTTGAGAGCTTCTTTTCTAACGGTCGCTCACTTGTTACTACGCAACGTGCCTTCCGCGCTCGCTTTGAAATTCCTCCTCACAGACTCGTTCCTGGCCGTAATTCGATTCTGTCGTGGTTAAACTCATTTCGGGAGTGTGGAAGTGTCGCTAAACCCAGAAATGGACTTCAACGGACCATCAGAACTCCGGAAAATATCGAAAGAGTGAGGCAGTCAGTTGTGCGTTCTCCCCGGCGTTCGGCTCGCAAACACGCAGCTGCTATGGGAATTTCTGATACCACATTTCGACGAATTCTCCATGAAGACCTTCAATTTCATCCCTATAAATTGGCTGTTGTGCAAGAATTAACTGAACGCGATTTTGTTGCCCGTCAAAATGCATGTGAAATGCTGATTGACAACCTGCCTGAAGACGCGGTCGTATTTTTCAGTGACGAGGCTCACTTCCACATTTCCCTGGATTATGTTGATCGACCACGGACCATAGCACACCTCAAGAACAACATTCGCGACGCCATTACCAACATACCGATTGATATGCTGCGAAGAGTGGATACGAATTTCAAAAATCGACTTCATCAGTGTATGCGCAATGGGTCACCATTTATCCGATGTCATTTTTAAGACTGCATGAAAAAAAAATTGGGATATTGTATTCTCAAATAAAAAAAAATGAAAACAATAACTGAAGTACTTTTTTTTTATTGACCTTTCAAATAAGTAAGTTTCTCTGGCGCACCCTGTATATTGTTATAGTATTCTGAATAAGCTCAACGTTAGTGGCAAAGTAACAGAAGTACTGTGACTAATATGTGATCTCTTCTCAATTGATGTACATATTTAACGTCATTGTTTTTAAAAAAGTAGAAAATCACATAACAAAAACTTTTATAGAATAGTAACTTAACCCAATTTCTATATGAGATAATGGAATATAATTTTAAGAAATTGATAAACATATTTTTGTATTACAAATGTATTACAAACATAGTTTGTATATATATATATAATAATGTATGTAAGTATAGACTTACATACATTATTTAATATCTTAACTAAAAAGACAAGCCATAAAAACCTTTGTGTTTTCATTATTATAATTATTTTAAATACCTAAATGAAACGAAAAAGATTGATCTAACCCATGTATTATATTTGACTTCCATTTTTAATATACAAAACAGAAATTGATATTAACCACTCCTTTATCTGGTTAACGTAATAAATGGTAAGAATATGAAAAAGGTTTAGAATATAAATAAATTTGAAGCTACATCAAACTAAACTTTATTGAAGCTATTATATTTATTTGTTGAAACAAAGTTTTTCATGTACCACGCTTTTTTAATTATTTTATTTCCATAAGATTCCGATATTTCCGTTCGTCCACCGCAGCCGTCATGGACAGACGAGATGAAACATTCTTTTAACTTTGAAAACAATTTTTGGTTTATAGCTTCAAATTCTCAATGACATTTAAGGTATCATTTGTCATCATTAACAATAATCTCAAGATTACAGACATTTCGATTTAAAAATATCTCAGAAGAAAAAGAACTCATTATATTTTACTTTTCCTTAAGAAGTAGTGCCGTTAGTTAAGCATGAAATTGCTCTCCAGGGGCTGGGAAGTATTCCACACGATTAGAATATAATTATAAAATGAATTTATTTATACTCGATTTTTCACTTTAGAACACACACACAACACAAAAACAAACATAAAATCGCACACAGATATTTCATTTACTCGTCTATTATGAATATTTTTAGATTTATTATATCGAATTTTGGTGATTTTATAAAACTTTTTTTTGTTTAAACATATTGGAAATTATTACCGCAATTAATCATAAGTGGAAAAAATGTGTCAGTTTGCGATAAATAATCAAAACCGTAATAATGATTATCCGAACACGGCCTTTTGTCCGACAATATGCTTGCTCACGGAGCTTTGTCACAGAAGACCAATTTTTCATGAAAATTAATACTTAGATAATAAAATAGCAAAGACCCAGACTAACTGTTTTTTCATTTCAAAACAACTCTTCAACTCTCACTATTCTCTCAAACATTATTTTATTATATATATTATTTATAATTCTTGTTTTGGCGTAAGAATGACTAATAAATCTTATTTCTTATAAACGGACAAAATTATGTGAGTAAGACGCAACCCTTACATATTCTTTTACCATTCAGTAGAGTGCGTAACCATGTAACAATTTTGTAAGATACCATAGTTTTCCGTATTAAATTTAACTTTAGAAGTTCAGTATTGAAATTTGTGAGGTCTTATTTATTAAAATATCTAACCTTACTAAACTCTTCACATAAATATAATCGATGAATTTACATACTACTATTTAAAGACACTATAAATATCCACAGAGCTACGAGTGATATGTTAGGACAAACGTTAGCAGTAAAAAGCTGTACCCGACCCATATCACGCAAAAGCAAGGATGACTAAGGAAATAAGTAAATAGGGATAATAGAAGGATAATATAAACTAAATTATGACAATATTAATTTCAAGCTTATAAAATTAAATATAAATATTACTTTATAGATAGATTCCGTTTCTTGTAATATTTATATTATTATTATTAACGGCTATTAATTATACATATATTATTGTAGATGCTGTTTGGATGGATGGATGATGGATATTTGGTCCTTAAGATTGGTCTGGCAACTTACAAAATACAATTTTATAGCCCTCGAAATATTAAATTCCAAAATCAAGTGTCAGACCATAAGTAAGATTGCATTTTTTATAATTCAATATAAAGGATGGAATTATCCTATTACTGATACACTGCAACATCCCCTTATATGCGGTATATATTATTGCTTTAAATTCGATTTATAGTCAATTATTTTGTTTCAAGTTGTTTTGTTTAATTTAAATCCTCTTTATGTTTTTATAATTTTCATAAGAACTTTCACTCACTTGAAAGGCATAATTATTGTAAATGAAGAAATCAATAAAGGTTACTAACTCTAGGAAAATGCAAATATTTAAGATAATACAAATATTTTCTGGGAAGATAATACAAATATTTAAGATTAAGATAATACAAATATTTTCTGGGAAGACATTAATTTTGATTCGATAATAATTACTTAAAAATCATTTAATTTGTATATAAACATATATATGGTCATTACATGTATTGATTCTTTTGTTTTTGTTGATACATATTGGTCTTATTGCTTATTTTAATAATATATGTATTACAGTGTGTTATTGAAAATATATCCAACCAGAAGCAATTTTCAAAGTCGTTGTCATCGAGGTAACAGTAATTTTAGCGTTCAAACTTGCTCATACTAATTAAAAAACCTGTCGCTAATAATAATTACAGAAATAATATGTAGTTCTAGTTAGACATCGTAGAATATTCCAAACTGCTGGCTCCAAAAGCATAGTTAAAAGTTGAATTTCACTAAATTTACTTCCAAATATATACTTTTTAATATTTTGAACTTTATGTGGCGTCGTAAAATAACCTAACAACTGAGTCACAGTTTGCTGAAAAATAACCGAAAAATCGAGAGTTCGTAGTTTTTGAAAATAGTAAAATCTAGTAAGTAAGTAAGTAAGTAAATCTGTTTAATATAATCCGAAAGATATTAGTTTCATTTAAATGAATATTCGCGAAAGTCTTATATCTCATTAACTGAGTCGCAGTGGCTTATATTAAGGATAAATTTTATACTCTGCTACATTCTAAGATATGATATAAAGAACAAAAAATAGTCAGCCTTTCACAATAGTAATTGTTGTTACGTCTTCAAGCAATGTAAGTTCTTACTTACATGAAACGTTAAAAGTTTGGTACAAGTAAATAAATAAAATAAATAAACACGAATCTTTTCAATCGCAAGTGGTTCGAAGCGAGATTTATTGCGTCATCAACAAAAAGTCGTACATCTATCACATGTCGCTACTGATGGCTGACTAATATAGGTAAACTAACCGATACTCGGCCGAACATCAACTAACTTGTGTTTTTTTATGTATACTCATTTGCAAAAGTGCCTTTCAATATTACGTAAATCAGTTAATATTTTGATATTACAATAAAAATGTGCTCAAGTTTTAAAAAGCCTCTATAGACTATACTTGTACACTAAGGTCATTGGAATTATAGTATTAATCATAAATTTCTTTCTATGATACCTAAAGAGTAATTAAAATTTATATTTTAATGTCTTGTCTTCTACTAACATGTCTTCCAATTATATTTAGACTAAGAATTAAATGTTAAGACTAAGAATTAAACCTTAAATGTTAATGATCTACAAATAAATTTCACTGGCTTCGTGTTTTCACAAAATCTCTATTCAATTATATTCTCTCCTAAGTCTTAAATTTATAATCTAGGATTATAGATAGCTTTTGCGGCTGATATTTAATTACCATATAATCCTTTCTCACTTAATTTAAAACCACACCAGCATAGAAAAAGGAATAACAAAAAACTTTAGTGAAATTATAAGGATATTTAATCTTATTATTGCATAAAACCATTTCTTTTCGAAGAACTTATAAACTTAAATATGTTAACAGCTAAACGAACAATATTATAAAACTGTGACAAATGACTTTTTATGCAAAACAATGTGTGTTTTGGTATACATTTTTATAACTTAGATTATAACATAAGCCCACTTTTCTCAACTTTTCGAACAATTGTCTGGTAGAGAATGCACATTAATACGTAATTAAGTAAATATAAAAATCCTATGAATGCATTTATATAAGGCCTAGTATGTAAAACTCCTTATAGCAATCTCTTAAATTTTTTAAAATATTTTTTGGTTTTTCACTCAAAATCACTCAAAATGCCATTTATCTCTTCACTTTGTTTTCTGTTTTTTATTCATCGCAATTTTTTAACTTTGTACACGCCATATTTTTCAATAAATTAAAACAAATACATCAAAAACTTAAAGGCCTAAAAGTTTTCATAATTATTCTTTAATCCATGATTTTAAACACAATTTTTATATTTTTTTAATTCTTAAATAACAATGTTAAGATTACAATAAA